AATAATTGCTACTGTGAAGTTTCTTGGTAAAAATAACCTTGCATTTCGTGGGAAACACGAAAGGTTGTATAAAAGTAGCAATGGAAATTTTTTAGGTTTGATTGAAATGTTGGCTGAGTTTGATCCTGTGATTATTGAGCATGTTCATCGTATTGAGAATGGAATTATTCATCATCATTATCTTAGCCATGATATTCAGAATGAATTAATACTCTTACTTGCTTCTAAAATCAGTGATGCTGTTATAAAAAAAAAATAAAAGAAGCAAAATATTTTTCTGTGATGTTGGATTGTACACCTGATGCTAGTCATCAAGAACAAATGACTTTAATTTTAAGGTGTGTTGATAAATGTTCAAATTCTTATAAAGTAAAAGAATTTTTCATTGAGTTCTTACAAGTTAATGATACTACTGGTCTAGGACTGTTTAAAGTGTTAGAAAATGTGTTAATAGCTCATGATCTTGACATAGATAATATCAGGGGACAAGGATATGATAATGGTTCTAACATGAAAGGTAAACATCAAGGTGTGCAAAAGAGACTATTGGATTTGAATCCTAGAGCTTTTTATTCTCCATGTGGTTGTCATAGTCTTAATTTAGTTTTGTGTGACATTGCAAATGCTTCACCTAAAGCAAGGGAATTCTTTGGAATTGTCCAACGCATTTATACTATATTTGTTAGTTCTACCAAGAGATGGCATATTTTAAAAGAAAATGTTAAAGGTTTAACTCTTAAATCATTATCTGCCACTTGATGGGAAAGTCGTGTTGAAAGTATCAAAGCAATTAGATTTCAAATAACTGAGTTACGTGAAGCATTACTTGAAGTAGCTGAAGTAGCTGATGCTGATAATGACCATAAACTTCAAAGTGAAGCTAGATCTTTAGCAAATAATGAGCTTGGTAGTTTTGAATTTTTGCTTGCTACAATCATTTGGTATGAAATTTTATGTGCTGTAAACTTTGTTAGTAAATAATTACAATCCCAGGATATGTTGATTGATATTGCCATTAGTGAGATTAAAGGACTGATTTCCTTTTTTAAAAAATATAGAGAGAATGGTTTTTCAAAGGCCATGGATATTGCAAAAAAAAAATAGCTATTGAAATTGGAATTGATCCTATATTTCCTCAAAGACGCATAATACGTAGAAAAAGACAATTTGATGAAATAGATGGTGATGAAACACTATTATCTCCTGAGGAATCTTTTAGAATCCAATATTTTATATACATTGTGGATCAAACTATTGCATCATTGGAAAAAAGGTTTGAACAATATGAATTGTATGAGAATATCTTTGGCTTTTTGTTCAATTCTGATAAATTGCATTCAATGGATGATGAGAAACTTTTATCTTGTTGTTTTAATTTTGAAAATGCTCTTAAAAAAGGTGAGGCTTCTGATGTTGATGGACAAGATTTATTTGTTGAATTAACATGGTTTAGAGAGTTTTTACCCAAGGAGAAAATGGGAGCAATTGATTTATTAAATTTTTTAAAACGATATACTTGCTTCCCAAATGCAACAATTGCATATAGAATATTATTAACAATTCCTGTAACTGTTGCTTCTGCAGAACGGAGTTTTTCAAAGTTAAAGTTGCTGAAATCGTACTTAAGGACGACCATGTCACAAGAAAGATTAAATGGACTCGCTTTGATGGCAATTGAATCTGATCTTTTAGATGAAGTCGATATAGAGAATGTAATCGATGATTTTGCTACAAAACATGCAAACAAAGCTACTCTTTTTAAGTGATTTCTAGGATTTAAAATTTAATTTTGACGAATTTTCTGATGTAACAAATTTTTTTATCAAATAAAAATTGGGTGTTAAATATATCGAGTAGAAGGCCCCATTTTATAAAGTTGAACAGGACCCCATAAATAATTTGCAATTTTAGCCCCGGCATTGTCCATAACCTTACCCCTATCATGGCAAATCGGCGAACACGGCCGGCTCTTCACTTTAATTGACTACACATCAGAAGACTAACCCCCAGAAGTCTCCGATCTGCTAGGAGACCAGTCCCCCACTATCTTTCGGCCCTTATCCCAAAAAGGAGGTTTTGGCTGCTTGAAAGAATATGGTCTTCTATTGCTGTCCTCGTTTTGGTAACTTGGGGTTTTTGCTCTCTTCTTTCTCCTAAGTAGAGTAGTAAAAGAGTAGTGTTGGTTTCTCTTTAGATTAGGGGAGGGTTTTTTTTGTGGATTGGGAAGTTGGGTTGTTTTAGTGTGCTGTTAGGTCCTTTTGAAGCAAGTGTAAAAGGTGATATTGGTTCAGAGCATAATTTCTTCTTTTTCAAAGGTGAGATGGATGGAGTAGCAAAAATAAGAGACTTTTTTTTGGAGTGGCTGCTCTGGGGGTCTGCATGATGTTGAGGAGTGTTAATGATTCTACCACTACTCCGAAGATTCACTCTGGTGGTTCTGAATTTTTCAATTCTTTTCAAGCCAATATTCAGCTTTGAAAGGCGATGGAAGGGATGAGTGGCAGATAAACACAAACCATTCGTATTGACGAGTAAAGGAGCAGACATATATGGATTAAAATTGCAGGAATTCTTCTTATGGCCAACTCTGTTACACCTAGAGCATAAAATAAACAAATTATCATAACTGATATTAATCCATTTAAACTCTGAGTTCCCGAGGTCCAAGTAGAATCCAGGCAATAGCGGTCCGAAAACATGTAATTGTAATTTTACTCTAAGGGAGCATCTAATTGATCTTGGATGGGGTTCATCAGCATACAAAATGCTACCGGCCAAAGCAAGCACTGGTTTAAAGACATTAATCTCACATAAGATCAAAGGTACCTCATCAAGGTGAACCCATATAGGAGCATCCTCAAATCTGATATCCCTTAAGGAATCGCCCTGCTTCCAAGGCTTGAAGAGTAGGAACGCAGCCTGGTATGTTGCTGACCCTTGCTCTAACAAAGCGTCTCTGTCACGGGCATCTTCACACAGAAACAGGAAGATGTTCTTATGCTTTTGGACAGAGATTTTCCAAAACGTAGTCCAGTGAGTGGAAACCCAGTTTTGAATACGGCTCTCCGAGAAATTTCGATAATCTAAAAATTTGCCAAAGACAAGATGGAAGTGGGAAGTGGGAAGTAGGGAGGAAATCTGAAGTTGGAGGATCACAATTCCCTGTTTCGAGGGAATTTTGGGGTTTATTTACAAAAGGGTGCGAAAACGAATGGTTGAGAGTTTGAGTTCCTGACATTTTAAGTGGGGAAAGGAAAAAAAAAAGACTATGAATATCGTCACCTGTGATCTGGGAAGTGTCGCCGATGAACTTGGGGGTCACCTGTGAACAGAAAAGCGGAAGCAAAACAGAGGTGGGCGGAGTGAAAGTACCACCACTCAGTCCAAGAAATCGAACTTTCCGACAGATGAGTTCGAGTAAACAACAAATACTTTATTTAATTGAAAATAAATTGAAGCTTAGTTGGTGAGAAGAAGCAAAGAACAGTGGAGGAGATTAGCGGTGGCTAGGGTGCGGCTCTAGTATTCTAGAGAGGACTCTCGTAGAGATTAGTTGTGCTAAGGTTCTCGTTGTTCTTGATGTTGTTGTGATTCTTGTATGGGTATGACTTATGAGGGGAGTAAGTGTAGATTAGGGTTGTGATGATAATGAAGTATGAAATTATGAATTATCTATGAAAATGCTAAAGATTGCAAACAAATACAATGAGAAAAAAGAAAAAAAAATCTTCGTTGATTTGACGGAATTAGTCTTGATGTTGTGATAAGTAAGCACATGATAATTGATTTATAAAATAAAATATCCTAACATATATACATAGTAGAATCCGTCTTGTATGCGTTTGGCCATACCATATAACCGGCAGTAAAAGAACAAAGTAACCCCTATAACACTAACCGAGTAACCCTTGTAACATTGACCAGATAACCCCCTATAACACTGACAAAGTAACCCTTGTAACACTGACCAAGTAACCCCTATAATACCAGCGAAGTAACCCCCATTACGAGTTGGTCATACGGTGTGATAAACCACATATAAGAATTTGTGTACATAGTATATAAGAGATTATTATAAGAACTTAGAAAAAGGTTTGGAAAATGATTATATCTTAATTTGAAAAAAAGACCAACGATTTTTGTTTCTAGATAAACAAAGATCGTTTATTTGGAAAATGATTATAAGAACTTGGAAAAAGGATAAACTGAGGCTTCTTTAACATCTAGAGCATTTAATGAGCAAACTAGCCATCTTTACCAAATGTAAGGACACAAACACAATTACACAATAGCACTACCATTCTACAATCTTTCCTCTACAAAACCCGTGTTCAAGGGCAAAAGGGAGCAACAGCCATGCCATTTTCACTGGTGCAGATTAGTAGATGTGTAGATTTGATTGTACTAACAAATTATCCAAAACAAAGCCATATAAAATCAAGCATCTTTGAATTTATGGAGTCTATGTAAGGAACAGTCTTCTGATTAAGTAGTATCACATGTACACGCTCATTAAACCGACACCAGCATTCCAGCACCAAACGTAATTCACTGACCAGTAAACCAGCAAAGACTTTGGTGATTGCTCTTACCCTTTCCAATCTGTGACCGACGCAGGGGCCTGGATAAGGGTTATGCGCATTCTAAAGCTCGAGTAAGACAATTGATAGTCTACTGGAAATGCTCTGGCCTTATACCCTTCCGGTAGGGTAAGTAGATAAGGACAATCTCAAACTCCTGATTTCGAGCTCTAGGTTCGTTATAAATCAGTTTGAGCGTCTATTATAAGTTCTCATCAGTGCAAAAGTACAAACCTACAATCTCTGAATTATATTCTGAAATGGACAAAATAAAATTTTCTTATCTCCAGAAATAATTTTGTAAATATTGTGTTGGCAAGGTAAATAAATTCTTACTTTCTAAATAAGACATCATCTATGAACTTAACCTTTTATTATGTCTTAATTCAAAGAAAGTAGCTAATATGGTAAGGTCAGGTGTGGTCAAATAGTTGTATTATGAGGAAATAAGTGTAAGGTTGAAGGTGACAAAGTTTTAAATAGGTCGAAAAGGAAACCACACACAAGGGTTGCATAAAAATTACAAAGTCAGTCAATTAACTTCCTACCAAGCTTACATGCTCCCCAATCCACAAAATTATGCAAAGCTTGCATTCTCACTGATCCTTGATAAAACCTAATTAAACAGCTTTCTACCAAGCTTATTTCTACTCCTTTCTACACCTGAATATTGTTGTGGCAGCCTTTGGAGCGTCCACCAGTACCATCCATCACTCAGCCCCTGATGATTTATTTCTTATAAATAGAGAAAAAGGAAAGACTAAAGAAAAATGAAAGAAACAAAATAACAAACACCCTCTATGTGCAAGTTGCTGTAATGAAACCGGTACACTAAGAAGACCCGAGAAGCTTCAATACAGAATCACGATCAGGCATGCTTGGAATTGCTCCTTTGACTTGAACACAAAGAGATGCGGCCGCAGCTGAACAAAGAGCGTGTACAAGAATATTTGTTCATATTTCTTCCAATTGCATGAATAATAATGACAAGAAAAAGGGGTGTGACCGTGTGAAGCAAGTGTCATACCAGCAAATCTCAAACATTCTTGCTTTGATCGACCCTCAACGAGGGCTACAGCAAAAGCGGCTGTGAAAGTATCGCCAGCTCCAGTTGTATCAAGGACCTTTGGAGCCAATATAATGGGCTGCTTGACCGGTTCTTCACCTTCCACAAATAAGGCTGAACCTTTATCCCCAAGTTTGACCAATACCTTCTTTACACCCTGCAAACAATGGCAGTCAATAAAAGTATAAAATAACTTAATTAACTCTGCATTTAGTTTCATTACTAATGATTCATAGTTATACATTAAGTGTTGTGGTACAGTTGGATATGAAATGAGTAGCTGGTTCTCACAATATGGAAAAACAGACATCAAACATCAGAACTAAAAATGGCGAGATTAGTAAAAAAAAAACATATTGAGCTCACCATTCCATAACACTTTGTCACAGCTTGACTAACTTGCTCAAAACTTTCAGTCGGCATCCCTGTCAAACGAGAAAGTTCACTTTCATTGGGACTCAGAATATCAACAAATTTTAGCAGCTCTGGTGGAAAAGGAGAATCCATTCCCCCAGCATCCAAGATAACAGGAACCCCTGCATTTCTTGCAGCCTGGAAAATTTCAGCCAACAAGAATATTTACAAGTGTGAATAGAAAAATTTTAAATGTAAAATAGGGTTAATATTAAAGGATGAGCCAGCTGAACAGAAAAACACCCAAACACAAAAATTATTAAATGAAGCTAATTTGAATCTTGCGGGTTAATTGGAATGAGAAACACATTTCTTGTAAATTATTGTAAAGGTAGATAGGATATTAAAGGAAGAGCCAGCTGAACAGGAAAAGATCCAAACTCACAATAATTTAATGAAGCTAATTTGAATCTTGCAGGTCAATTGGAATGAGCAACACAATTCTTCTACATTTTAAGTAAGCATTATATAAAGTCAGTGCCCTGTCCATAATCAAAATGGTCTTTGTTGGGCCACATTGGTGCAGAAAGGATAGGCTTGATTACGGTCTCTTGAGCAGTTAAATTGACATTGCACATACACAAAGTGACCTGCTTGCTTTTACCAGCATCAACAATGTATAATGCACAAGCGCAGGTTAAAAGAAATAACTCAAGGATATTTCTTAAATAATTTCTTCAAATCTTTTTCGATGTATTTTGCTCACCATGCTTGAAACACAAAAACCATATAGTAAATAAAAAAAAAGGATCAACAATTATTGAACAAATGGGAAAAAAGACTAGAATACAAAAACAAACATTTAATTACAGGAAGTGTTTCAGAAAATTTTCGTGAAAAAACACTTTTTGAAAAAATAATTACACCACCAAGATAAATCATTAAACTAAGTAACCTTTTAGAATTTGGAACCAAAATAGCCAAAATTACTTGCACCACCAAGATAAATCATCTTATAAACCAAATTCTGCACTTCTACCAGCACTAGACAAGCTACACAGAAAAAACAAAACCCACACTTTGCCCTTTAGTTTTAAATTGAAGTGACCCAAATTATCTTATTTTTATCAACACCATTCCATTGTGATCTTTGCTTTCACCTCACCCACGCTTTTAAGCGCACTTAAAATGCATTAATTACAACAAAAGAACAGACGCCCCTCTTTGCTAATGCCTTCCAAAATCCTGATGACCTCCTGACTCTTGAGATTTTCTTATTCATTGGTAGTTACATTTTCTTACAAAAGTCATCTTCATTTGCACCATCTAGAAGGTCTCAAGTGTCAAACAGCCACATTCTAGCCAGATCAAGCCTTACATATTTTGATGCCTAGATATACATTACCTCTTCATTCCTTGAGTTAACTTATCGCATAATGAAAGGGAGTGGATAGAAAAACTGCTCACACTCATATTAAATTGCCAAGTGGAACCACCGCACTACGATCTTTCAGCCAGTTCTTAAACGAGGCTGAAACTATTCTAGAACAAGTGATAGAAAAGACTAAAACATGCTTCTCGTCACATATGTTGATACAAAAGTGATGTACTCCATATTAAGAAAAGGGGTAAAGCATTATCAGTTTATTATGAACCGATATGTCCTTTTCAATATTCCTTTAAAGTAGGGTATACCAGTATAGCAGAAACTTCTATCTCAGTTAGCTTTTCATGATTGGATGAGCAGGATTTGGAGAAAACTGTGATGCATAAGCTACATTGCTTCACTGTTTTGCATCTTAGCCGTACGAAATTATGAAAAGCTATGCATCATTTTTGTGTTTTTTTTTTTTTTCTTTTTTCTTTTTGACAAGCACAAAGCAAAATCCTACCAGATCATCCGGTCCCATTTACTCCTGCTTGAACAACAAGATTATGGGTATCCATTTTCCTTTTTCGTCCTACACGGTGAGTGGTTGAGCTGTTGATCATTCTCTTGTTCTTCTTCTTCAATCTTAGAGCTTGGTTGGCCATACCTTTTCGACTTTCCGGTGTGGTTGATCTTTGTCTCCTCTCTATGAGCCTCCTTGCCTTCTTGTTGGGCGCATTAGAGTTGTCTTTCCTGTCCTCATTCCAGATAGCCATTGTGTCTGGTGAACTGTCTTTGCTACCCTGTTGTCCTGCCTTGAATGGGGTTCAATCTTAAATTGATGCTCTTCCATTGTATTCAGAGGCTTCTTCGAAAAAGCCTCATGGGGGACCTCGTTGCTTGTGAGATCCGGATTGGAGACCGCTGCTTCCCTCAACTTGAAATTGTGGGGTGTCTCCCTCGAGATATTAGATTTTTTGGTGAAGGTATGAACCTTCAAAAATGACATTGAGTGAGCTTGAAAGAAGTAAAGTTCTTTCCCTTTCCTTAGCTTGATAGCATCCACTTGTGACAGCTTCATACGTTTGGATGGATTCCGTTTGTTCACATAGACAACTTCACCACATTGGTTCTTACTTACAGGAGGTCCTTCCAGACTAGAGTTCTTTGACTTCCCAACCTCCATGTGCACCTCATTCGTTTCTAATTGGTTGGTCTCTTCATTACCAGTTGTCGCGGAGGGTTCGATAGTGTTATCCCCTTCTCGAGCTCCTTTCATCACTACTTGGGGCCTGGGAAGAGGTTGGTATCTCCCTTTAAGTCTTTGAACTTCATCACCCTAAATGCACATTGACATGCTGATTCTTGCTTAAGTCAACATCACCATCTCTGAGTTCTCCAAACAAGATATTCTCCACATTCTTAATTGTCTGAACAATTTCCTTATTTTTTGGTTCTATTGCTCTTGCTTCCAGTAGATCAATATACGCCTTCTCCTAGCTTCTGGACTTTACAAGGGCCAAGCCCCTTCTAAAGGGAGCTTTCACATTTCTCTTATCAACCATCAAAACCACAGAACACGAGACAATGGCTTTGCTCAACTTATTTAATTTGATTGCACATGCCACAATGTTCAAATGTAAGGAGATGATAAGGTCCCTATGATCAAGGTTGATATTTGTGGCTAGAACATCATCATAAATGGCAGAAAGAGTGACACAAAGATATTTGAAGGCCTTGTTGTATGTATCAAAAGCATTGGACACTTCACCTTTATTGAAGAGTGAATTCCCATCTAATTTCAATGAAGTCACATAGAAAATAGCCTCCTCAAGGCTATCTGTTTTTGAATAATTCGTCGATATCACCCTCGTCTAGGACATCTAAAAGGTGGACCAAGATGGTAGACAATCTATGTTCTTCCTCCATACCTTCCAAAAGAACCAGGTTAAAGAACACTAATAAAAACTAGGAGTAGATAACAAGGCTACCACTTCAAAAGGCAAAGAAAGGCAAAAGACACAACATCCAACCTACTGCATATAACACAGGATCTAGCTTGAGAAAAGAAGGAAAAATCAATTAACTAACCTTGTCGTTCGAGAACTAGACGCTAAACACCATAGTCTCTTTATAGCCGGAGGTTAAGATGAAAAGCAACAAGCTAGACAAACTAGACACCGGGATCGGAATCGGGCCTTTTAACTAGGCTCGCCGGCGACCAGTGAAAGAAGCAAAGTGGCCAGCGGCGAGCTGCTTTTGCTAGGGGTCGGTGGGAAGTTTCGAGAGAAACTTTCTCTCTCAAGAAACTTATTTCACACTTTATGCATCATTTTTGTTAAAGACAGACCAGTTTAAAGTTCTAGGATGAATAGCAGAAGCTAGACTTCGGTCACTAGCAGTCTTGGATTCATATTTTCCTCCTGATTTTGCAGATATAACTAATAAAACGGGGAACCTAGATATAGTATTTAAGCTGTATTTTTTAATACACTGAATTGTTCCTTCTAGACCTAAAGCACATATGGCTGCCAGTGGCTGGTCCAGGGTGATCACATTGTTACTTGTTTAGCAAAGTCTTCTTCACTTTCCAACTGCTGAGCTGCCAAACAAGGTGTTCTCACAGCCCCCCTCAGGTTTCAAATTTCTTTACACCTTCGTAGTTTTCATCTCTCAATCTTAATAGCTTACCTATCAAGCGAATATGATCATGTAACACTCACAATAGAGGAATTCAGAATAAAGCAGAGGGTCTAAACTCTCAAGGAGATACTGTACCAATTTTAGCATTGGACATAGTTTGATCACTCTTTGATCTGATAAGTGTTGGAAACTCTTCTAAGAAAAAATCGAAACAGTTTGATTATTTATTACTCAAATACCAATAGTGATTAATAGCGTTGGGATGCCTTGATACTTGAATCAATCTAGTTCAGACTACAGAGTCTATGTTAGGCTACAGGAGAAGCATTGAAACCTGTAATTGCTCTGCAGGGTAACACCTAGTAATTCTATATAGAACCTTCAACAACTCAAAAATCCTAATATATCATACTCCCCTGTACAAATGGACTGGCATTGCTAATAAATCGTTTAGAAACCACGTGAAATCTTTGTCATTCTTCGATTGTTAGTTCATTATGTTTCTAGCACCCATTATAACATCACATATATATATATCCATATCATCAAATCAAATTAGTTTTACACACACAAAATGCACAACTTCAAGATAAAACCCTTAAAAACACAACTTTAAAATCATATTACCAAATAACAAATAAAAACAGACCTTAGCAACTTGAATATTGACAGAATCAGGAATTTCCCTCTGAAGAAGAACAATCCCAGCATTCCTAACAATCTCCAAATCTGCATCATCAATCTCATCCGGCCAACAACTCATATTAGCACCACCAACAATGATGATCGAGTTTTCGCCATTCGATTGAAGCATAACAACAGCATGACCAGTAGGAGCACCACTAACATTCCTAAGATAATCCAGAAAAACCCCACCATTTTTCAATTCCTCAGAAATCAATCTACCATTAGCATCTTCACCAATTTGCCCAAAAAAGTAAGTTGGGTATAAAAGTTTACCCCCACAAACTGCTTGATTTGCTCCTTTTCCTCCTGCTAAAGTTTGACCTGATTTTGCTGAGATTGTTTCTCCTTCTTTTGGGAGTCTGTCGATTTCGACGTATATGTCTGCATTTGCTGATCCTACTACTACTAATGGTGGGAGATTTTCTGGGGTTGGATTTTGAGATGAATTTAGGGATAATGAGGGGAAATTAGGGGTTTTTTGGGGGAATTTTGGGGTGAATTGAACTGGGTTTTGATTGAATTTGAAGATGGATTCATCATTATTGGGAATTGGGGTGATTTGAGAGGAGGAAAAAAGGGAGTGTTTTGAGTGTGAGAAGCATGAAAAGGCCTTCATCTTTGAAGTGCTAGTTTCTTTCTATGGTCGTCTTATAGCTCATGATAAAGACTAATCTAATCTATTTAATCTAAAACTCATCTAATCTATTTAATCTAAAACTCATCTAATCTAATGTAATCTAATACCGAGTATTAGTACCTAATCTGATTTAATTTGATTCGAACCGCTGAAGTTTTGTGTCATGCGTCATATGATGATAAGGTTGGTAACAAAGCAATAATACAAGCACACACATGATGTAAGTAAAGCATAAATACGGTCCTTGTACTTTTTTATTTGTGCACTTTTGGTCACCAAATACTCATTTGTGCACTTTTAGTCCCTCAACCACCACTCTTGGTATTTTTGACCAAAAGGTTGAGGGGCCTAGCCTAGTCAGCAAAAGTTTAGGGACTATTACTCATTAATAATTTGTTTTAAATTTTTTTTTTCATCAGAATTTTAATTAAAAAAAAGAATCTTTCTATCTAATGTGGCAAATGGTATGATGATAAATAGTTTAGAGACCTCTAGAAGTTATGTGGCCCACTACCTAACAATAACATGATACATGACATCATATGTAAATTCAGCCAAAAAAACAAACATGTCCATGAACTGAATTTCAACCAAAAAAAAAAAAAAAAAAAAAAAACCAGTCTTACTTCAATTTTAGAAATTCAAAGACTCGACAATTCTCTCTCCTCTTCATCTTCTTCGTGTTGAACATCATCCATCTCCAAGTCGAAATCAAACATCAAAATCTGTAGGAAAATTGTCAGTGCAAGACTCGGAAGTTTGAAGATGTCGTAAATGCCTCTGTTAGGGTTAAACTTACGATCCAATCATTTTTATCGTAAATTCTTCCATTTAATTTAGCTGCAAATTATTGTTTTTCATGTTAATTTCTGCTTATTAATTTTTATTTTTAAATAATTAGGCAATCATATGTTGAAATCGGTGCAATAAGTGATAACGAAGGTGAAGGCGAGGCAGGTCCTTGATAGCAGAGGAATTCCTGCTGTTGAAGTTGAATTATCTGCGAATATTGCGAGCAATTGTGGAATCATGGTGCGCGGGAGGATTCAGCGAGATTTCAAAGGGGGAAATTAGGGTTTGCTCATTGTTTTGTTTGTGGAATAGGTTGGGTTTTTTTAGGGGTAGGAGCCATTTTCGAAGGAGGAGAGGGAATTGGAAGCCATGGGAGAAGGGAGGAGAGAGAAAATCCAGAGTGGGGTAATAGTAAAGAGAGGGAGAAAGAGAGGAAGCCATGAAAAAAGCTTAAATTTTTTTTCGGTCAAAAGAACAAGTGATTTTTTTTAAGAAAAGTATTGTTTTTTAATTATTTTAGATTTTTTAATTAATTATGCAAATGAAAAAAACAATGTTGTTAAAAAAAGAAGTTTACTGCGGTGTGGTTGGTACGTAAATTGTAGGTAGCTGCTACTAACTTCGTTGTTTGATTGAAGGTATGGGCGCAAAACACTTCTCGAATTATGAATTTATGTGTAAATGTTGAATTTGTGACTTTTGTTTGTTGTTATGAAGTATTAGTTTATGTAATGTAGGGTTTTCCAGTGAGTTTAGCGATTTAGGGTTTCCTGTGTTGTTCATTTGTTTAGTTGGGAAAAATTTTAGTGGGCGTGGTTCTAAAACCCTTAATTGGAATGAATTTTTTGTTATGATATTTTTCTTTATGTGATTTACGGTTATCTAGTGAAATTAGCGAGTTAGGGTTTCCTTTGTTGTTCATGTTTATAATTGGAATTAATTTGAGGTTGTGAAACCCGTAATTGGAATGAATTTGTTGTTATGATGATTTAGATTATGTAATGCTTTGCTAGCCACTGAAATTTGTGACCTTTTGTTGTTTAATTTAATTTGAATCCATGTAAATGAGTGATTAATTGTGATTTTTTGTGGTGGAAGATGTATTAAATTATGAATAAGTGATATTGTTACATTAAGAAATTATGACTGTCGTGGTATGTATATGTGAATATAGTGGAGAAATTATATGTGAAGAGTTAAGGGTTTGTTGAAATGGTTTTATGTAGTAAGGAAATCCCATTTATCGAGCGTTCATCTGAACTTGGCAGGAGGAAATTATGTCGAGGAAGAGAAAGGGATCAGGATTGGTGAGTTATTGTTTGTTGAAATTAAAAGATTGTGTGTTTGCTTAGTAATGGTTGTGTGTTGTAGTTGATTTTTTGTGGCAAATACTTGTGTTTGTGTAGGCGCGGGCAAAAGCCGTGAATGAGGAGGCACCTAAAAAGAAAGTAGCTAGTAAAGGGAAGAAGAAATTGAAATCTAATCCAGTTTTTGAGGTAGAGTATTTAAAGGACTCTGATGAAGCTGGTTCTGATGATGGCGATTATGGTGAATCTAGTGGGGATGAATTGATGATGCTGATTCCACAGCTGGTGATTATGAGGATGCGGAGGACCACAGTGTAGGTAGTGAGGAAAAACCAGAATAGGACAAAGTGAGCTACCAGGAGCTCCTGATCAAGTTATTGCGGGAAAAGGTTGAGAAAGGGAAGCGCAAGCGAGGTCATATTGAGAAAAGGACAGGAAAAAGGGGCAAGCTAAAGGTATGTCATGTTAGATGGAAATGATAAAAGCTTATTTGTTATGTAATACTTGGATGGAGAAATGAAATGTGTAATGTCATGTGTAGGTCAAGAAGACGAAGGGAGAGGTGGTGAAGGAGAAAGGGGTTGTCATTAAAATCCAATTAAGAAGTACGTAGAAGGTACTCTCTGAACATTATTTGATATCCATGACATGGAAATGTTTGTTGGGATTTATGTGGTTGGACCTTTGTTTAGGTAGTAGGGAAAATGGACTGAATTACTAAAGATTAATTGTAAATTGTACTTGAGTTTTAAGTTAAGTATGAATATTGTGAGTCCTTAATTGGATGTGCAAGATTAAAATCCCTTATAGAATATCACAAGTAATTTTATATAGGATTGTATAATTAGTGTCTCTTTAGCTGGTTTATATGGAAGGGCAGTTGTTGTAATTTGTTGTAATTTAGTTAGAAATGTAAAAAATTGAGGTAACCTAGAAAGGAATTAGTTAGAATTGAAGAATTTGAGTAACCTAGAAGGAATTTAATCGGTTAGTGGTTTTATTTTGTGAGGCTTGGGCCGGTGTCATTTGATTGAAGTTTGTCTTATTTGAATGTAATGTTGTAGGCCCCAAATTTGCATGGCGTGAAGGCTTTTGCAACCGCAGTGAAGAAGTCTGATGACTCTAGGAAGAAGCTAGTCACAGAAATGGGTTTTGGAGGGTCGTTAAGTATACCCTTAACTTTTGTACCCCGGAAGTTTGTGTACTGGCTGTTGACAAGGGTGATGGGTGATGGTTCGATAACTTTTGGAGATGAGTGTGTGCTTCCTTTGAGTCCCGTTCAGGTCGAGTACGTACTTGGGATTCCCATGGGGTTGAAGGCATTGCCGTGTACGATTCCTGAGGATAAGCAGGAAGAGCACATTAGAATTTTGGAAAAGTTTGGGAAAAATGATAGCATTTCATTAGTAGCTGCTTTGGGGGCACTTATTCGAAAGGATGAGGAAGGTAATGTGTTGCCGCTGTCGGATGACGAGAAGGCTGATTTCAAGATAGCCTTTCTCATAGCAGCTCTGGGCTATTTATTGTATGCTACGGCAAATACAAGCTATCTTGGGGTGAAGCTTGTTCCGTCGTTATTGGTTTACGATGAAGCTGATGAGTATGACTGGTGCACTTATGTATTTAACTGGATGATTGTAGCAGCCAGGCGTTTCCAAAAGAAATTTGCTCGTGATGGATATGTTGTAGGTTCGGGGGATTGTATCCTTTTTTTTGTTGGTGAGTAAAATTGGGTATTTGCCACCGTACATTAAAAGCTTTTTGAGTAATTTTATCAAATTGTGCAGTGTTATCTTTTGTAATGGCTAGTTGAACTAAATCATCCATCCTGTCCTTTTATTGTAGATTTTTTATCTAGATCACCTAAGTCGCGTCCCAATGTGGTGGGGTGTGAGACCGAGACTTGAGGCATGGTCCAAAGAAAAGATCAATGAGGCGGTTGGCGATGATAAAAAAGAATTTGGGGATTTTGGAAAATTGCCAGTTAGTATTAGTTTGACTTTCATTTGATGTGAATACTGCTGTAGCTGTTGTGTTTGATTCTCTTGTAGTATCTGGATATAACATATGGGGAGGAGCATCCGTTGACTCCTCGGGAGGTTCCAAAGCAAAGGGTGGAAAGAGTTGACGTGCAACAGACTACGCAGGAGGTAGACGTGGAAAAAATTACGCGGTAGGTATAATGCAAGTCAATGATAGTTTTAGATGTATCTTTGTATTTTATAAAATAAGTGATATGTCCTATGCCAGTTGTTAATAGTTTGTATTTATGTTTTCCTGAAGGTGTTGGATAGAATTACTCCAAAGTTGATGTCTGTGATTGACTTGAAATTAGGTGACGTTATGAAATCAATGCATCAGTTGATGTCACAGTGTGTTGACGTAGCTAATGCCCAGAGAGTGATTAGGGGGAAGCCAATAGAGAGGGAAGTTGTTGTACATGAAGATCAGGCTTTGGGTAGTTGTTTGTTGGAGAAGGAACCACTGAAAGAAGGTGGGAAAGGACTTGGTGGGGAAGAAATTAGGCATGCTGATACAGTTTCAGGTGAAGATGACCTGAACCGTGTGGTTCAAAAGATTTCGGTTGATCCATTGTTTGCAGAGGCTGGGGGTGATGTCAAGGTGGTTGGGGATGAATCCAAGGTGGATAGGGTTGGTGAAGGTGTTGTCTTAGAGTTCCATGGCTGTTGTTCTGATTCTGAAGCGGAAGATGAGAACATGGTGCCTGGACCTGAAATAGTTGTGGGCTTGGTTAGGACGAGGGGAACTACTGTGTTGGTTAATGCTCGGTGCAGTTTGGAAAATTCATCTTCATCTTATGAGGAAGATGAGTCCACTGAGAAGGGGGGCAGAACTGCGGATAAGAGGGTGGTGAAACCTACAGAGGCAGCCTTGTCAGCCATGTTCACCAATGTGTCAAACACCCGACGCCATACAACGGTCGAGGCACGTCTG